CAAATCAGATCTGACTGGTACAGGAGATTGGCCCTCCTTCTCCAGCAGAGCATCTAGTGGATTCGAACAGCATACCTATGGGATTGCAGTGCAGCTTCTTGACACCAGGCCACCAGATCTCCCTTATTTTCTTGTTTATCTTTATCAGCATCTTTATTCACTATTATTTATTCACTTTATTCACTATATAAATTTACTATTTATCTGTCTTTGAGAACTAGCTGGAGAATGAGAACATCAGCAAATATCCTCTGTAATACTATACATAAAATGTATCACAAACAAATGATTACATGTACATGAAAACAGAGAAATACGAACAGACTGTCCTAAGTGGTGCTGTTATTGTTGTGTACCACTGTGGCGAAACCGACTCAGCTGACCCTCCAGCATATTTTCAGAGGCAGTTAATCAAACTGGAGGAGACTGCCTATCTTTCTGCCTCAGAGCAGCTGGTGGATCTGAACTATGTGCCTTCGTGATTGCAAGCAGCTTCTTACCATTAAGCCCCAGAACTCCCTGTCTTAAGTGTAGTTCCAAGTAAACTGGATGTGTCATATGTCAAAACTATCCATAATGGGAACTCTGGTGTCACAGCCCGCAGCCAGTCACACCACTAAACCAAAGAACCCAAGTCTTCGGTGTTGGAATCCACTAGCAGCTTCCAAGAGGAAAGATGGTCAGTTTCCTCTGGCTGCAATTTACAATCTCAGTAACCCAATGGACAGCTGCTATGAATTGGAATAAACCACACACCAGTGAGTCTGTTAGAAGTGTGACCTGTAATAGCCTCACCAAACCACCTCCATAGAGACATGGCAATTAAACAACCAGACCAAATCTAGTGGGATCAAAAAGTTAACTAAGTGTTGGACTGGTGAGAAAACTACAAAGTCTGCATGCAAAATAATGTTTTTAAAAAGGAATTTAAAAAAAAATGTTCTCCTCTATAAAAGTCATTGAAGAATATTTTCATCAACTGCTTTGTAATACTTTTTAATAAGCTATTCACAGGTAAGCCTGAAAAGTCACATAATCAACCATTTAACCTGACATTTCTGTGTCTGTAAGCTTAAGAAAGCAAAATTTAATGAGAGAAAGGAGGGGGAAAAGGGCCAAGAAAGTAAAAAAAAAAAGCATATTAAGCATGGTTGTATATCATGGCTTTCTAATAATGATCAAAAATTGGAGTTAAAGCAAAGTCCTTCCATTTGGGAGTGGGAATGACTTCACTAGCTTCTTTCAGGCTTTGCAAGTCTCCCTGACTTTGTAACAAAAGTAGCAAACTGGTTTCGCCTTCAAAGTGAAACAGTCTTAATCATTTTTCTAACTCCAGGCCAGGGACAGCACATAACAGTAACTTCTTGCTGTATGTTATTATCAGTTGACTGTGACTCATGGAGCAGGGGTGTGTGGGTTTTTTTGGGTTGGTTTCTCTCTCTCTCTCTCTCTCTCTCTCTCTCTCTCTCTCTCTCTCTCTGTGTGTGTGTGTGTGTGTGTGTGTGTGTGTGTGTGTAGCAGAACTAGTCTGTAAGGTTTTCAAGACCATGATTTTTTATAAGGCCTGTCTCCTAAGACACCTCAGGGTGGATTAGAACCGCCAGTCTCTGCCCAGTAGCTGAGAATTTAAGTGTTTACAACACTCAGTGGCTCCTCAATGGTAACTACTGTTACTCTGGGCAAAGAGGGCCAAAGAGAAGAATGAAGAATTCAGAACTCAAATGCTGATGGCCTTGCTTGTTGCAGGTAAGAAGCAAAAATGGCCTTGCCTGTCTGGCTAAGCTAGCAGGTGGCTCGTAAATAAGTACAGTGGATCGTTGTTGCTGTTGTTAGGTGCTGTCAAATCAATTATGAAAAATAGATCTGAACCCTGTCCTATCCTGTGCCGTCTTCACAATCTCTGACACACTCATGCCCATTGCTGCAGTCACTGTGTCAATCCACCTAGTTGAAGGTAAACCTCTA